TATTGAATACAATAATCAAAAAGGTGGAGATATTATTTATTTGAGAGAAAAAAATTAATTTTTTCATTGAGTACATGAGGTGCCCGAGTTACCCTACAAACTCACGCTGCCCCACTATCCCTTACATGTGTGATCATGATACTAGAACAAAAAATTATTTTATGGTGTCAAACAGAGGCGATATCGCCAACAAAAAGAAAAGCAGTGTATTTTATTCAATGAATTACTCGATCTCTATGAAGTTAAGCTAATGCAATGAATTATTGTCAAGGATAGCTGAATCAGTTCAACTGAAGAATGCACTTTGCGAGATTTTATTTACTTCCATGGAGAGCAAGAAACCAGTCAGAATAATAGAATTGCGCAAATGCACGCTGCAGACGTGTTCTGTTATGTCTAAAACTTGAAGTGGCTGCTTTATTAAACATCGTACAATTTAATTAAATATAAATTTACTCATCCGTTTAGAAACAGCGAACTCACCGGTGTGCAGCGTATCGGATGAGCACAATAAAATATCACTTATCTTGAATTTATATAACATTTACTGCTAGTTTTTACGCAGTGGTTTGATGTAAAATAGCACTTCCATGAAATATACTTACGTAAGATCACAATCGGCAATCCAACGTTCATCGTATTCATCGCGAAGCCTTCTATCTGCTTCGTGATCACGCGGGCATTTAACACTTTACTTTTTTTCTGTCGATCAGATTATGGCATTTCTTAGGATTTTTCTTAATTGCACAAAAATCTCTATTGTTATTCTTGCGTTTACTTTATTAACCTTATAGAGATGTTTTTCAATGTATTTTATCGACGCAATCGTGGAAATACATTATTATTACATATTAAAAAAAAATCTCATGTAAAGAAAAGCATGAACTCGGAAAATCTATTACACAACGCGACCACTTAATCGCACAAATGAAAAAAAAAAAAAAAAAAAAAGTAGTAAACGAGAAAAGAGGCACGAGGATCCTGGCACTGCACTTCAGAGAGGAGAGGGAGTAGGACTTCTGAGCCCACCTTTTCCTCCCACGCAATGTGCTTTTTTTCCCGGATCGGAACACATGACTTTGGCCCGCAGCCAACAGTCTCGCTTGCTCTCTCGCTCATTCTCTTTCTGTCCTTATGGCAAAACGAGCAATGACCCTGATCTTGAACTTCTCGCCGCCCGTACTAATGAAAAAGGAGACGGTGGAGGGGTAGTACATTTGACGGCCGCAAGACTCCCATGACACTGTACAGCGCTCTGAAACTTATCCTTTTGGTCTAGTTTTCTTTGCTGCTGCAGTCAGAGTATTATGCGCTCGGCTCATTTTATTGCCTGTTGTGACGAACAGAGCTCAAAAGGAGAAACTTTCTGTGTGTGTGTGTGTGTGTGTGTGTGTGTGTGTGTGTGTGTGTGTGTGTGTTGTANTACTGAAATATTTTATTTCAATGTGCAAATGTAAAATTTGTATTTATAAATTATGAAAGATAGTATAATTGCCTACTAAAGTGAATTCCTATAAATGTAGATATTAGTATATATGGCCCATCTAGAGAGCAGAACTACCAAAAGCCTTAAATCGCACATTTACTTTCCTCACCTCTAGTTTCAGTAACAACGCGATCTAAAACATTGTATAGATCTCTGCTTTCTAAACGCTTTACGTATTATTTATGTACAGGGTCAGTATTGAGTAAACTTAAGTTTGAATATTTTTGACGAAGCATACAAAACTCGATGAAAAATAAATTTATAGATTTTAAAGATACAGATAGATATTGTTTTCTTACATTTTGTACTCGCAAATCTGTGCAGCTTTTATTTTAAATCTACGAAGAAAGTGACTATTAGTAGGCTAAAAATTAAATTGCACACATTACCTGAGCCAGCAATTGCTAAGACTCGGAATGTTTTTTTTCTTTTTTTCAGAAAGATTCACACACAATGCCATATTGTCAATATTAATCTAAGTTTGGTTCATAATTATTCAGTTCTTTATAACTAGAGGACAGAACTTCAGCCCTGGCTTTTATTCTATGTGTACTTTTAATGCCTTTCTCTTTTCTTTAATGCCTCTATTCAAAGTAAATATAAAAGTTTAGATTTTATTTATTACAGAAAAAGAGCCGTGGCAAATGAAGTAAAAATCAAGCAGAATAACAGTTTTAGACACAGACATGAGAATAATATTTTTTCCTAATTAATTGAAATTAATACAACTTGTTAAAAAATCTAATCTTTTATTTACGTATACGTATTCAAAAAAATTTACTAATAGTAATTTTTTATCATATACCATGCATCTTTTCAAAAGTACAATAATCCTCAGTAGGTAATGAATATCATGAATCTTATGATTGCCAAAATTTCAATAATTCAAAGCTTCAATTTTTTCAATTAAAATTTTTTTTTTAAAGTTCATACATTCAGAATTGTTTTAATAAAGTTAGCTGGTAAAATACGTACATAAATTTAAAATTGTATCCTGTTTTATATTTACTGGTTATCCATCCAAAAATTGTTTTTAAAAATAAGGAGAGATTTCTAAATACCGCAGCATGTAGCTGTATTTCTTATTATTTATAGGGAAAATACTAAAAGGATGAAATTTATTTTCATGTCTTTTTGAATTTCAAGCAACACTCATCGATAAAATTGATAATTCAACATTATGAATAAATTTTTCTAAACTGCTACTAGTTTTCGATTCTTCTACATTTTAACAATGGTTCATAACATAATACTATCACGCGATTTAATGTAGCATTACTCTTAATTAAGTTTATTTTTTATTGCTAATTAGAATATCAAATAATTTAACACTAGTATCATGATTTGTTAGAAGATCGCTTTGAATCTCGAAGAATCAAACCAAATAAATCGAAGAAAAACTTGATCAAATTTAAAAAACACTAAAGCCTTTGACAGCATTATTTTTTTGTAATAAGTAGTCCAAAGCATCTCTACAAATAATAGCTTATTATTTGTAAATCACGATACTTACTTTCTCGAAATGGTCTTAAACCCGAGAAGTGGCTTTTTTAATACTAAAATGATAAAAATTAATGTCCTTTAAAAGATGAAATCTTAAAGATCTACAAAAAAAATTTACAATAACTATCCAAAATAAACCGATTCACAAAGCTCTGAATCTTTCAATATTTTTATGAATTTATCAAGACATGTCACGAGCGCAACCACAAGCTACTGATTTAAACGAAAAACTTACAAAAACAAGTTCACTATCGATTAAAACATTTTTCTCATCATATCTAGTGCTTTTTCTTTTCTTGATTTTCCAAGGCAACAAATACTAAATGTTACATTAAATTTTTTTTATTTTTTTTTATTAAATGGATAGATCGTAATAAGCGTAATGTAAAAATACCAGATTTTTAATATACAAACTTTGCAAAAATTTGATTCCTTGAATAAAAAATTGTGAGACAGTTAATCACGAAAGCTTATTTTTGAAGGTTTCTGTATCTGTACAAACACTCATAGTTGTTTTCTTTAAATTTATTTTTTAAGCGCAATTACAATCGATCACACAAATTTTTCGAAAAATAAGCCGTTTTTTTTCTATGTCCACAGTGAGCCTAGGGTTGAATTTCTGGTTGTGTTATCACTTTTTTCCCCAACATTCACATATTCTTAAAACTATTTTGGTATTTCTTTAAAGTTGTCAACCAAGTAAGAATATGATATCGAATAATTATTTACTAACTTTCTTTATTAACTTCGACAAATGATGACGTAACCGGTTGTTGTTTGAAAATATGTGTCATTTTCAGCGATTGATGATAGAGCACAAAGAAAAAAGTTCTTTATTGAAGTCCCTGGATACAATGATAATTGTAAATTTTCTGTGAACTTTAAATTAACTATAGCGAGTTTTTCTAAGATTTTTAATATACGTAATGCTACAGTGGATCTTTGGATACAAAATTAGGAAGGCTATACCGAAGCAAAAAGAATTAAAACGTTTTTAGAACTTTACTTTATTATTGAACTTAAAATTTTATCTATTGTAGTCACATGCAGTCACTTTCTACTGATACGTAGCGATTCTCCAACACTTGAAAAAAATAGGTTCTCTATTTTTCCTTAAAAAGTCTATACTCTCCTGAACACTTTAAGTTCCATTGTTATTTGACGTCCTCAACCGATATCGTGGAAATCGCTGTGTTGGAACTGTCGAAAAAATTTTCACTGAAATTCAGCTTTGTAGTTTGAGAATTTATTTTCAGCAATACTTTTTTCACAGGCAATAATTAATTTTTGGTAAAAACAAACAAAACTGAATTAACATAAATATTATTTCAAAAATTTAGCTTTATATACATACAATGTTTCAATATTCAGAGTACGCAAGTATAATTATTGCTTAGCTTTCCTCCAATTTTTGTCATAATAAATTATTCTCATTGTAAATTGGCCAGTTCAACACAAATATGAAAAATAAAAATTGTTTCACAAGTAAAAGAAAAATAAAACAACTTAATTTAATTATGTGTCATTCACGACGTCATTTCTTTCACAAAACTTGTTCACTTACTTCACTATTTTTTTTTTTTTTTATAAATTTTTGTACGCAATAAGTTTTTTTAGCGTTAGATAAAATATTTGGATTACCAGGACCAAGGACTAAATTTGAAAAAATCTCTACGAAAGTAATATTTCCATTAACTTTGAGACACTCAATTTTTTTTTTTCTGGTTTTTACAGGAGAGAAATAATGATCAAGGAACATAAGTACTTACGATTTATTAGTGAGAATGATTTAATAACGATACAAAAAATTTCATTGTAAATGATTTATCTTAAAAAAACGACTTAAAAAATTAGAATTACAAAAATAACAATTCATATGTTCATGTTTTTAATTTTTTTTTTATNATTATGATTATTATTATTATTATTATTATTATTTTTATTGTTATTACAAACTCTCGCAACCCTATCGTAACGATTGGTCTGGACGAGGTGTGGTATCGTGGGAGAGCCTCACGGAGGGAGTGGGACTCCCCCTACGCCAGTTTTATCTACGAGATCCGATTTCACCGCGTAGTGCGTATCGGTGAGACCACCTGTGATTGTTATTGTTATTGTTACTATTGGTGTTGCTATTGTAGCGACGATAGTGGTAATTGTGAAAATAGTGGTGGAAGTAGCCGCTTTTCCTGTTGCTACGATCGTTGTTGAATTTCGGCTGCGTGCGAGGAGCGACATTGACATGCGTAGACTCTAGTACGGTAGTGGCTGCCCTCCAGGGCAAGAACGGCTCGACTCAGCCAAGGCCTGCCCACTGAATGAAGTCGGGTACCTCGCGCACCGGCACATCCCTGGCCAGGGCCTTAACCCTCAAGTTGCGGTCCTCCGTCAGCAGCACCACATCTCGCTTGACTCGTCTCGGCTGACCTTCGTCTACACATTAGATCAAGGAATTTCGTCCTCTTTATTTTTGAAATTATTTTCACAACATTAAGATTTCGAGCCCAGGACTAAGCTTATTCGGACTGATTCTTACCTTCAATACATTGCCGAGCTTTTTATCATCATTATTATTTTTACTTTAAATCGATACTTGACATGTGTGAAAGTTAAATAAACAGTATGGTTATAAAATGGGCCTTCAGTGTGAAAATAAGAATAGGATTCTTGGATACTCAATTATGTAAATAGATTATGCAAACTATTAAATAGGTATCCTATTACTACTGCTGGTTACGCATACTGTTACTATATTATTAGCATAGAAAGTCTTTAACTTCAAACGCTTGTTACATAACATTTCTTGAGACGGAGAACTCACGAAGGCTTTTTTTTCGCGCAGGTGTAATATTGTCAACAGGTGAAACGTGAAAAGCATACACGAGATGCATGAGTGCCTTTACAAGAGACGTGTGTCGCCTCTGAATGCGTATAAGATGTACAAATAACTTACCTGAATTAACTTGATCTTTGTAAGACCTGCATAGGCTTAGGCACGTAGCAAGAATCCGATCGTCGTTTCTTGTCAAACCATCCTGCAACAATATGAGCCACACACATTTTTTTTATCACATGTGAAAGAGTTATTTCTTTATCGGTTTAATTTTTTTTCCCCCAAAAACAAATAAAATGTAGAACTTGAGATATAGTTATAGGTCTCGAGGAGGCAAAGATGTTTCAATTGATAAACGTTGAATTTTACACCTCTTACTCATCGGTTCCCAATGGAAAATCTCGTAAATGGTTCATCCAAAAATAACGTTATCTTCCATGCAAATAAAATATAAGTAATGTAATTAACTGTAAAAAAAAAAAAAGTTTTTACCTTAGAATTGAAAAAATACTTGTAAACTTTACTCTTTTTCTTCTAGTAGTCTGTAGTTAATAAATCTTTCAAGTTTAGCATTGAAATCGGTTAGAAAAAAAATTTATTTTTGAGATAAGCGTTTTAAAATAAAAATCGAAACATCTATTATTTAAAACTCAAAATCAAGATAGTACCGTTTTTCACAAGGGCGTGGAAATTAATGTTCTCAACGAATTGTTCAACAAAAAGTTGCACAAAGTTAATCGACCTTACAAGTGTTCACACGAAACATCAAGCGCCGTTTGGCAAATGTAGATTGGCTCTTCGAAACGCTTACCAAAGAGCGACGAATAAACCAAAAGCGAGATCTTAGGATGGACCAGAGAGTCTGCATAACGGGTTCTTGTGAGGTAGTAAAAATCCATGCAATGGTGTACGTGCGTAGTATTTGCGGTTCTCGTCATCGTGACGCAAGTATACAGCATAATGACGTGAGTACAAAAACATAATCTCCCTCACCTGGCAGACGTCCTCTTCATCGGTGAACGAGCTCGAGGTGAGAACCGTTCCACGGGTCGTTAGGCACTTTATGGCAGGGTTTCGGCTCCTGGCGAAGCTCAGCCCGGCCTTGGCGTTCTCCGCTACGCGCGCCACGTGTTCTGGATTCAGTGCGGCCCTCGACGTTGGCCCACAGTCTAGTAGATTTGCACCCCGCGACAGACCCTCCAGCTCGTTCAGAACTGAAACACGCAGACAAGACAGAATTTTTTATTTTTTTTTTTATTTTAGCAAACAATAACTTGTCATTTCTTTACATTTTGTAAAACAAAAACGTTTTACATTTGGACTTATCAATGACCATTTTCGCGAATCCAACGAAAATCTGTCTTCCAACAAAAGATTGTTCAAGTTTAAACGGCACAAGTAAAAAAAGATTGTCCTTAAAACATGGGAGTGTCAAGGTTACATTGGTAAATCAAAAATATTCCCATGAGTCCATGATACATATTCTACACGTACACCGGCTAGCTGATCAAGATAACAATGTGAATCCAAGTGGTGCTCGGAAACTGAATCCATTTTCAACTTGTGCAACAACAAACTTAAATTTAATTAACTAAGAAATATTAAGCAAAGAACAAATTTAGAAAATTCCAAGTCAACTGATAGCTGAAGCAAAGGGAACAGTAACTTTTGTTGGCAAAATGATAAATAAAGGTGAAATTGTAACTTTCAGAAGACAAGAAGCCTTATGGCTTCTTTCCTATTTTAAGGGTGTATAATCTTCCCAACTGGTCCCGTGAGAATTAGGTTTTAGTCCCAAAAGGGGTGGGGGTTGTTTGGCATACGTAGTAGTGCACTCCTGAATTTGGTTTTAAATTTCTAGTATCTACATTGTCCTCATATCGTTAGAGTATAGTGCTCGAGAGCTCATTAGTGGACAGAGTATGTGTCAAACTTGCAGCGAAGACCGCTACCATCCTCCTTTCTCCCAAAGCTAGAAAGTTGGGTCAGTTTCTGGGCCAATGCACTGAAATCACGATGTAAAAAAAATAATAAAAGAAAAGGTAGGTATTACGTGCGAATGGAGGACAACCAATTGGTTCCATATTTCGGGTTAAGTTTATAAATTATCAATCTTCCATCCACGGTAATTTCGATTCCAACTTCCCTTGAGAGTAATGATAAAATGGAATATTTTTCCCGCGCAAAATTACACACCTCGACATCAAACATGGCTCAATTATTTTCCTCATCACGTGACAGCATAGATTCCAGCAAAAACCGCAAACTATGGAAAATCATCCAATAGTCAATCGTCCGCGAATATCATCGAAAACGCTAACCCGTCGTATCTGCCGCTCGATTCTCAAGCTCAATAATCAAGAAAGTGTTACACTATCTGAATTAACACGTATCCCTCCAGCGAAACTTAATCGAGCCCGTGTAATTCCATATACCTGACGGTGCGACTCGAACAATCTCCCTCAATTACATCGGTACGTAGCGGCAAAAACGTCGACGGGGAATAAAGAACGAAAGAGAAGACGCTCACGCCTGTCTTGAGACGATCAGAGGATAAAAATGCCCCTATACCCCTGTTGCAGGCCGGCAATTAAAGTGATGCTCTCTCTCTCTCTATCTCTCTCTCTTTCGGCCCACTAACACATTGCGAGCGCCACAGCATCTCTGTTTATCTCTCAAAATTCATTTTCCTCGCGGGCGTGCAAGTCAACCTCGCCCACACGTGTCCGAGTTAGCCGGCCGGAGCAGTCGGGCCAACCCCCCCCCCCCTCCATACACTCCTTTTCTTGTACATCGAGAGTTGGCGGAACATATACCCACGTGGAAAGAAAGAGCAAGAGTCCCCCCGGCGGCCAGTCGACCTGCGCTCGCTTGCACTTCTTTCTCCCACACGTGCGTCTCTTTCTCTCCTCTCGAGGAAGGTGAGCGAGCGAACGAGCTTGCTAGCCGTGAGAACCTAACTGTGAAGACTCACCGTTGTTCGTCTGCACCGGTTGGGGTACATGCACACACAAGTCCATACTAAATGGCCAGGGGGGGGAAGGGAGGGAAATAGAGAATGAGGGCCCAGTGAAAGAGAGAGACGGGGTCGCAGGTCACTCGCGGACGATTTTGCACGAATCGCTCGCTCGCACACACACTGCACAGGTATACCTACGTGGCGTTGATATAGGCGCATATACAGCACACTAAAAAGGTTCGACCGTCTGTGTCCAGCTCGTATATTCGCGGTCATCTCGGCTGGCGGCTCTGTGTTATGTGGCATTATGCGCGCCGAGATGAAATTACCGCGAGGATAGATAAATGAGACGTAGATTAGACCCCCCGCCTCCCTTTTGACCAGCCCATCCTCCATAGAGGCGGCAACTGACCGGAATCTTACAAGATTGATTTGGGAATGGAGAAGGTATGGCTGAAAGTGGGTCACTCGATGCATTTTCGATTGTATAACTTGTTAAGGTAATGCTGTGCTATATCTTAATGCATTACGCGTCTTACTTATTTTATCGTCAGTATAAATAGATGGTCGCTAATAAATGTCTATTGCTGGGAAAAGTTTTGGAGTATAAGATACTTTATTATTTACGGTGATGAGGATGTACCTGCTCGCGTTATACAAATACAACAATGATAATTCCTAATTTTTTCTACCTTGAAGTTCCTATTAATATAGTTTTTTTTGTTTTGGGTGAAGAAAATTTTTAGGAGATTTTAAGGCACCTTCTAACTTTAATCAGTGATCTTTAAAACGGTAACGTGCTTCTACATTTACTCTTCAACTGTCTGTTTGTACAAAAAGGGTGCAGGACATCCATAGGAGAACCTTTACATTTTTTTTTACGAGATCCAATATTCAGGAGGAGATTAATGTATGCCATGGACCTGAAAGTACTTTAGGCGAAGGGTACTGTCACATACTTTGACATTTTCAGGATACAGGTTTTTATTTATTTATTTTTTTTTTTTTTATTGAAATTGTTGAGTTATTTTGTAACTTAAGAGCAGTGCCTTTTCGAATTTCCCATCACAAGGTAAGATCCTCTAGTTTGCTGTCACATGTTCTGCTTATGAAATAACTTTTTCACCCTTTGTTTTCGTACTGTTGGGAAATCAAGTCAAAAAAAAAAAAAAAGAGAAAAGAGCAAAAATCAGCATCACACGTACACCGTCGTAGGATAATCTGAAAAAAAGCAGCTAGCCAAAAGAATCAATAATGGATGGGCACGTGAAATTCTCCAGCGAAGCGTTAACGCTGAATAAAACGACTTTTAACACCCCGGGGGTGGCTGGGTTGGCTGCGCGCGTTGAATTTTAATCCGTAGAATATATGCGAGCCAAAAAGCTTTCGGACGCGTTCCGAAAATGTTTACGATTTAAGAAATTACGTGCAATAACTCGATGCGCTCTATCGTAAGTTGTTGTATAAATTTATTTCGTACGATCTTTTCAAGTTTGCATAACATATCATCTCATTGTATTAATGTTGAACGTTACAGTGATGGGTATAAGTATGAATATACCTATATTTTGTTTCTGATTTGCAAGAAACTAGACAAGATACCTTCCGAATTTGCAACACGTTTGTGATATGAGTTTTTAACATCAGCCATCCATTGTTCTCTTTTAGAACCCTATATCTTAGCTGTATAAAGGTGTGTTAACGTGTTAAGTTTCCTTTAATAAAGTAACTACAAGATATCAAAAATGTAATTACTGTAGATATTTTATTAATAGTTACTTGAAGAGAAATTTCAATTTATTAAACTTGTGTAAAGTTCTTTTGTAACAGTTAACTGAAAATATCTATGAAATAGTAATGCCACATGCCAAGATGTAGTGTAGAGATAACTACAAAAAATACTAAATTTGAAGTACTTTTTTAAGGAAATCTTTTAAAAATCTAGCAAAGATTTTAAAATTCTGTTCAGAGCTCTAATCAAACGCACTAGGAGGTCGTTTGAATTGGCAAAAACTATTTTGAGATGTTTAATAAAAAATCTAGTAAATTATCTTGTATTGTAGGACTTTTCTAATGATTTCTTACATATTTCTTTCCTTGTTTGCTATGTACATCCAAACTTGAAAAATCTTGAAAAACATGATTTAAAATTACCATGTACCTATGTTCTGAAATGTCGATTTTTCAAATATTCTTAATCAACTCTTGTTTATTACATCATTGTGCATTACACAATAGGCAATGTCTCAGAAATTTCTGACAAAGTTATACGTACATGAAATTCCTGACATGTAAGTGTGAGCAAGTCATGTCATTTACTTATCACTGGCGTCAAATGACTTTTATATAAGGGTTGGATAACCGAGATTTGCAAATCTCGAATCAATAACGCGTGCACCAGAATATGACAAGCCTGCACATCACGAACCATCAATCGTTTATTTTAATATCAAAATAATCCCACGGACGGAAAACACGTGTAATCAAGAGTCATTAGAGCATAAGGAACGGGTGAGGCACAGCGCCCGATTAAAAAGGAATTTTTCCTCAAAACAATAATTTTCAAACAAAAGCAGGTGGATGTAATGGCACGTTTTCAGCTAAACTCGCAGCGTCCGAGTGTAATAGCCAGTCTTGGACTGCACGATAAACGCGAGTAATCGTAAAACGACGGGACGAGTAATAAACGCCGATCGATCGCGCGATTTCAAGCACCATCCGCTCCTTCATCCTCAGCGCGGCTGACAATTTGATATCATTAAAAGTTACGCCGATTCATTCGGAAAATCAAGCCCCGCGTGCATACGCGAACCCGATAACACGACTCACATCCATACGACTGGATTCTCGCTCGGATTCTCGTGTACGAAGGGGCGACGAGGAGGCAGTGACCGAGACAAAGTCGCCGCCCCGTTAACGCTCTTTCTCGCCGCAAAATTACGCTCTCGGCGTTTGCATAATACACACGCGAGTGGCGATCGAATTCCTTCATCGGCGAATTTACAGCTTCGACGAGCGGGGCTCCCGTTACGGGAGCTTTCTCTCTCTCTTTGATATGTGTATCACACGCGTTGCCACCCGTCTATTAGGCCCCGCCGATGTATCCCGCGTTGCGACGTAATTACATCACTCGCGCGCGAGCAATCATCTTCCGTTAACGGCGGCAACAGTCCAATAACCATTACCGCTCTCTTTTTCCTTCGTTTTGGTGTACGCTCGGCTTCCGTTTCCTCCGCGTGAACTCTCCGAGACCTTGACTTATCTCCCCGCGCCTCGAGGCCTGCGGATACACCGGGTACTTCCACGTGCTTCGCCCGAAAACTCACGTAGGTGTACATTGAATTCCGTTCACCAAGAGAAGCCAGGTGTACGTGTCTGGTCGGAGAAAAAGGTTTGACGGCGCGATTGGATAAGATCGGGAGATTGTAGTTGTTGTTGTTTTTTTCCCACATTTCTTCTTTCGAAACTGTATTATTAGGAGCTGGAAATCAGCTACTGCTGTTGCTGTTTTTCTCACAGCGTATTTATTTGAAAAGTCATGTGAGTTTTGACTGGTTCAGGCGGTGGTCCGGTCGTTGTACCTTTTGTGCCTCTTAACTGTTTTTCAAATTAGGATTGTAACTGTAGGAGGCAAAGTACTTACAATGTGCGTCTGGTGAGATTACGTTATTTTTTTTTTTTTTTTTTTGCTTCTTTCGCTCTTTTTAGATCAGAACATCGATAAGAAGGTTATTGGTCTATTAGTTTTGGGCGTTTACGGCCAAGAAACTAAACCATTGTCTACGGGGTGAACTGAATTGTGGAAATATCTATAGTTCTAACGAGTGGAGGTTGGTAGGATTAATTTGGAATTCATCAAAATCCTTAAACGTTCCGTATTGTTTACTCTCATAAATCACGATGTACAATTATCTCATAAGGCTTTCTGTTACAAGACAAACTATTGTTTCATTAGACACCTCGACTTTGTAGAATGGTAAATACCCTTTTCAATTTTCTACAGTCTACAGTCATTATGTCGGAAGTGTGTTATTAGTATCAACTAATACCACCTATACCTAACTTTTGTACCATTTACTTCATCATAAATGACGTCTTATTAATGTATGACTTTGCAATACATGGTAACACATCGGGGTAAATTACGGGTTAAATGAATCTGATACATTATCCTCCTGCTGTACTTTGTCTGCACAACATTATACAAAAATAGTGGTGCAGTCTTATTAACAGATTTAGTGCATATGACAAATATGAAGAACAAGATTTTGACTAGAATTGGTTCTCCATTGCAATGAGATCATCATAAGTTACGTATTAACATGGATGAAAAGCAGAGTCAAAGAACGTAAAATAAAATCTGCCTTAGACCACGAAAGTTTAGTTTAACAGTACCCCCAAATAGTTTATGTCAAGACGTAAAAGGGGTTAAAAATGAAACACGACGTATATATATCTAAACCGAGCTCAATTACTATAGAGACTTTACCAAGACGGACGTGCTCTGTTCGTTATATCCCGTTTTGCGAATCGAATTTCGATGTTGACGAAAATGTTATCAGTTAAATGAGTCAGCGTAGTGATCTCCGAGGCACTTTGTATGTATTTAAACTATCGAACGCAAGAATTGCAATGTTCCTTGTTTGCTCATCGCACTTTGATCTTTATTTAGCTGCGCGTTAACTTATTTTCATACGAAACAAGCATTAGAATTCAAATGTTTGAACTGTATGCTGGTTCTAAATGAATTTTCGGTTAGTGACTTGTAGGATGATTTTTTAAAGTTCTGAATAAAAAATTATCTTTTGACATCTCCTGAAAATCGGTAGTTGTTTCAAGTGATTCGCGCCGAACGCTGATGATAAATAATTGTTTATTAAGAGTGTTCAATCTTTAATGAAAATATTAAAAATCATATTATCAAAACGAACATAAGAATGTATAATTTTACTCTTTTTTATTTTACAGCCCTAATTATATCTTAATAACGCAAACATGTCCAATTCACACTTTATGAAATAAATGACTTGTAAAATACGGTACTACATCAAAGTTCTTAAATACCTAGCCACTACCCCACATTTTAACATCAATTAAAATATGTATTTACAAATAAAAGCATTAGAATCACTGAATCAAAGGAGAAAAAGGCCAAATAGTGGATGAATATATATATCTATGGTGCCCAGAGTCATTGGCGAGTCACGCAATGCCATATGCCATGCATGCGACGCGCATGGCTGGAGGCGCTATCTGTGGGCAAGATCCATCAATTCGTCGGCAAACATAATTTGTAAAATCCAGCGGCACGCCGACAAAAAGAGCCGTCCGATACAAATGTCAAAAGGCCATTCTCGACAAGCGAGTAAGAACCGCAAGTGCATGTATACGTTTCCTCGCACATATATTTATCACCTAGCCCATTTGTCTAAAACGACTATTCTTCCCTGTAAACGACTCTCTTCTAACCTGAGCCAAGAGAAAGAGAGAGAAAGAGGAAGACCTTCGACCACACGAGACTCAGCAACTACGTACACATAGAGAAGAAGATTCGATTTACTTATTCTCAACTGACAATGGATATACAAAATAGTCCCGTATACATGACCCGTATATACATACCTCATAAAAATGCCTTTTAACAGAATACTTTGTAAAGAAATTTCTGAAGCTTTCACATACTGGCAATGAATAGTATTATTCCGAATAAATCTTTAGCCTTGCAAAATTCTAAAATGAAAGATTAAAAACAGTCAGATTATTATTTTTTTTTTTTTTGCTCAGGATACGTTTTGTGTGATACTCATAGTATAATATCGCCTAGTACTCGTGGTTTAATAAAATTAAACCAAGTAATATTGATTTTTGACTAATATTACATATAAACCTTACATAAAATAGATTAAAATAATGCCCGAACGTTTTTAACGTTTCATCATTTATACAACTAAGTTTCATCATTCTCTCTTTTTTTATGTATTGATGAAATCCATGCAAACATTCCATATTACTTACTTAATAGATAAGTAATTCTTACAATAAATAAGTATTCATCCCGAAAATACGTACGAAAACCTAAAAAGTGATGTACAAATTACTTAAACAATTGTTTTTATTCAGCAATTCCTTGTTTTACTACTACTTAAAAAATTGATTTAATGTATGATTATCAACTTCCCAAATTGCTGAGTTGATTGAGATAACTTAATGATTAGCCAGAAGAAATTTGGAAAATGTATTTGAGCATTTTGAGACACATAGGTCGCGTTTTCGTTATTCTAACGACTTTTTGACATACTTATATTTGTCGGTAAGGCTATGAAATGGGATTAAAGGGACTGAATTAAATCAAAATACATCAATCATACCGGCAAAAATATTTATTTTTCGTTATTTGAAAATTCGAGTACGCGAATCTCAAGAAAATAATAACGTGGTCGCTAAGGGTTCGTTTGCTTTTTGATCAAACTTATACCTTGTCGCGCTCCCCCGCGTTTTGATAGAACAAGGCCACATTTGTGTGATCGATGGGGGAGGGGGAGAGAGGTCACGGTGAACAACAAATCGAAAAATTTACGAGTCGACGTTTCCCTTCCGGCACGCGTTAAAAAGTTGCGCAACGCTGCATGTGGTGCTTTTTACATATGTATAGTTTCATACGTTATTGGTGCAGTCGTGCAGCGAGGTGCCAGTGGTGGCTGCAATGTCATTTTCATGTGGCAACAACGGGGAGATGAGGTGCGAACGCGGGAATTATTAAGGAAAGGCTGTTACAGGTGTTGTTGTTGCTGCTGTCGCTGACAAGGCATCAGCAGGAATGCGGAGGAATTGACTGCTGTGACAATGATTGATAGATCTTCCGGTTGAGCTGCAGGAGGCCTCGAGTAAACAAAGGCTTCGTTCTGCTGAACGAGTGCAGCTTCGAAATATTTATGTAATACTGGTGGTGTCAAGTGATAATTTATCCAGTGACATGGATTTTTAATCATTGTTATTTTTTTTTTTTTTCTTAATTTTATACATATTTTTTTTTTTTTATGGCTCGTAGAATTACAAACTAAAAATCAGTAACGTTTTTCACGCTGAATAATGCCAACCTGCTGTTTCAAACATCATTAATAATTCAACACTTGCAACATGCAACGTTAAGTCACACCAACAAATCTAATTTTATTTGTTGCGTCGTCTATGTTATTTTTATCTTATAAATAATATTTATATTAACATTATTTATCGGAAATACCGTTGCTCACGTTAAAATTTTACCATTTAAATAAAAAAAAAATAATGCTACATGACTCTATTGGCAAATGCGTAAGAAATTACTAGAGCGAATCCAACTGAGAAATATAAATATGGATCACACTCTCTAGTTTCCTCAGTATCAGCAGTAATTCCTGACAGTATTTAAAAACTTTTTTGTTATCAATTAGTAGTCGGCTTCAACTAAAACTTTTGTTATTGAATTTTTAGACTAATTGTACTACATTTGACAATTGAAGTATGTAAAATTGTTTTTTAAGCTGAAACAATACTATTAATATTATTAATACTATTAATACTATCAATATTATTCTATATATATGAGGCGTTGATACTATCAGAATACTAATTTTTTTTTATTAAAACAAAACATACTCAGACCCGTTTAATTTAATATTGCTTAGATATAATTTAGAAATTTAAAACCAATCACTCACCAACAAGAGGAACCATTAGTGTGTACATTGGCTGAGCTCCGCACGAGGCCTTAGTTATGCTTTGCAACTGCGACAGGTAGTCGATGAAACAATTTGTGTCGGGAACTAAATGTTTTGGCCTCACTTCAATTTCCACTGACAATGATGACTTTTGTAAAATTGCCTGAAAAAAAAAAAAAAAAAAAAAATTTCCGGTCAGTCCTTTAGTCTTATTTTCGTTGAGTTAGTTTTGGATCTTAAAAATGATTGCACATCTTTCATTAATCTTGGAATAAAGATTGATGAATTTTATAAAGTACAGGAAAAATTTTGAGATTTAAGAGGATATCAAAGGAGGTAACACTTTCAGCTGTGAGTGATTAACGTGTTCGTATGAATTTTATCTAAGTGAGAAATTTTAATACTTGGGAAATCAGCCACGCATGAAATCGAGTCTTATGTTCTTAGCGAATATATTTCATAATAAATATACGAGTATATGAGGTCCCTACGGTCAGCAAATTCAGCAGGGATGGCGTACTATAGCCAAAAGAAAAATAGCGTCGCAAAAATATGACATCAGTGATCTCCTGACTTAAGCGTGACGGAGATGTTATCACAAAAACAAGTCCACATACTACCATGTACTGTCATCATTTGTAGTAAAATAGTGTATGAAATAAGAAAGTGTTTCTGCGACGCAATTTTTCTTTTGGCTACAATACGCCATTTATGCTCAGTTTTCTAACGTTTCACACTTATTGCTCCCTAGAATTAGAAATTTCTTCTAACTATCTAACTCATCGTACCTGTCATTTTTAAAAATTTCGATATTTTTCGATGGGACTCCAACTCATGATTCTTAAAGTGTTCTTAACTAAAAGGCCATGGAAGCTCTAAAGATCGGTCCTAAAACTTTGCCCAAGTAGACACAACAAAAACGTTGTAATGAAATAACAATTTACCAAGTCACTTACCACTGCAACAATAACAATCAAGGCAAAGGATTTGACTTTCGGGAAAAAATACACCAACGCAATTTCAAACTCCTTTGAAATGGGATACAAATATGAGCAACCGGCGTATTTACAATTTAAACACGTATAGGTAAAGAAAAATTTTTTAACGCTCCTCTGACGCAATCGCTCGAGCAAACTGAGAAAGTAGCCTTGAGACATTCGGGGGAACAAAGCACATAAAGCCACCCATAGGAGCATTCTTCCTAGATCCTCTTCGTTTCTCTAATTGTAGGTACTCGTCTTTAAGCGCAAAACCAGGCGTGCCCGCTCTATACAGTGTACGTTCGCAAACGAAGATCTTTCTGCCGGTCTTGTCTCTCTGTCTCTCACAGCTGAAAAAAAAAAAAAAAAAGTTTCACGGTCCGTGGCACGGCCGTGAGAACTCGCGGGAGGGCTTGGAGGCGCGCGCCTACTCTGCGGCTCACTTTTCCGCATATTAAACGGTGATACGCGACGATCTCCCCCTCTCCTTTGCGCGTAACATTGCAAATGCGCGACGCTCGCATGCATTCGCGGTATTGGGGACAGGTTCATGCCAGCTGCGCGGTGTGTACAACAGCAGGGCGTGCAGTGGAACTTGCTGCGCACGATTGTAAAATAAGTCGGAGATTCGAGGGGGAGGGAGAGTCTGATGTACGATATATATCGATGAAAAGCATGTTGCAATCTTAGAGCTACTGTTGGTTCTGCTTTCCCATCAGTGCATGGGCTTGTGGGACTGCTGTACGCACACATCTCCTTGACAGTGCATTTTTTTCTTGATTTTTTTTTTTTTTTTTTTTCCATGGGCTCGTTGCGGTCTATTTCAAGTGGTCCTGAAAGTTAGTGAATGGGGAATCGAGTCTTGCGCTTACGCGTTGGTGGTTATCTATTAGGAAGTGTGCGTCTGTGCGTGGCCGTAATAGCTCACTTGAATGGAATTTTTACCGCGATTGCCATTGTTTTCGTGAATAATGTAGGTATATTTTAATTAGACGATACTCTACCTGAGTTTTTATCGGATAGTGATTAGATGCATCATGATTGTATTGGGTAACGCGTGTTTGTTCGAATTAGATAAAATTGTTTGGATCTAGGGCCATTGTGGGGGACGGAACTGTACATGTTCGAAGAACTAATCAGGTAGGGTTTGCGTTCAAAATTCTTTAGCTTAATTATTTGTGATTCGTGGTTAAGCTAGTCGAAATAAATTGAGGCGATGAATATCGAGAACGGTGCTTTTTTTCGCATGACCAATGTCCATTGATTCAAAGATTATGCAGATGCAGGGTGCTGGGAAAAAATTTTTTCATTGTCATGACTAAAACGGTCATCTCGTCCATTCGTGGGCCATACTCAGTGATAGCCGGCTTGAACAAAAAACATCCGAGCACTTGTAAGGAAGAATTACTCTTCTTTGTACCTTTTTTTTGAGCTATAAATATTCAAAGAGCAAGGGTCAACGAACTGCCTGACCTTTTGAAATAGCACCGAAAATTTGTGTAACAGGTGTAAGAGGAATGATGGAGCTGTGATGGGAAGTTCCTCATCTTTTTTCCGTTTTCAAAATTGGAAATACAGGGACAAAATGAACCATATGTTCACGAAAACAAGGCGGTAGACAAAAATATAGTTTTAATACTTGAAGTTCGTACCGACATCTTTTACATCTTTTACTCTCTGCAGCTTAAAGTTGTTGTTATTGACTGTTGTGTGTACTGCATTTAAGAGTCGTTGTAATTTGACGTCATGTATGATTAAAAATTTTTTGTAGTGAAACTGATAACGACATCTATCTTGTTAAATTGGTTTCTTTGGTTTTGTTTGAGGAGCACTATATCAGTTATATTATTTTTAATAATCGAGACATTGGAAGTGTTGTTTGCTTCAGCGTAGATAAAACTTTTTCAAATAGCTAAAACGTAGATAACTTTTTTGAAAATAGGGCACCCATTTTACAATAGATGTTTGTGGGTGGAATTGTCTCTTTTTGATAGGGTATTTGTATTGATTTAACCTTTTTGTTATATTTTTGTTCATGAAAATTGACGAGTGCTTATTAATTAGAAGTAGTAGCTGTACTCTATCAATTTTGAGAAAAAGTTGAAATTTTCATGCTTATCCACTTGCAAAACAGGTACGTACTAGTTGGAAGCATCCTGTACACTTCATTAGAAACAAAATATTGATCATCCTTATCTTCTGTTTGCTTATATTGTTCAAAGTTATTTCTCTCCATCATACTTGTTCCACGTTGCCCCTTTGACATTTTTCCATGTTTTAACTGATATTGTTTAGGGTTCCAATCCTCCATGAATATTAACCAAACCAAGGGGGTATGCTCTGGACTTACTCTAACAAGTATGGACCCAAGATAAGTGAACTTTAGGGATTTTCTGGTAGACACAGATAAACTTGATGCGTTGATATTCTTCGAATTCTTCAATGTAAACATGATTGAACAAACGTAACTTTTCAGTACTACATAGCTTTGCCAGTACTGGCTATGCTCATCTGGACAATATATTAAGCTCCATAGGTTGATCATCCATTTTGTGTATTTGTCACACTAGTAATAGTGTTAGTACTACTTATTCTTAGGTTTATTGTGTGACCCATTACACACTGAGTATAATGAAGTATCCTAATCCTAATATCTCATTTTCAAAATGGTTTGATTAACATCTGGCTATATGCTATCTACGTGCATTGAGTTTAATTAAAATGGATATCTTGTACGAAAAAACAATGAAACAAAGAATACAAACTGTTCATCTTACGAGAACGTAATTAAAGAGCATATGGCAATGTGCTCTAGCTCAAATCGAAAGGTTTCATGTAATAATTAACCGAAGATAACAAATTGGACCAGAAAAAGCAACGACGAGCACAACCATTGGCAGATCGTCAATTAGCATTTAATAAATTCCATGACAAGTCAATTATAATACACCACAAGCCCGTACGTGTACGTAGGTGCGCATAACACCACACCACGCAACGCGCGCTGCCCCATCACGTGCAAGCTTAGATAATGAATGTAACAGTCTGCTCAAAAATCTCAGGGGACTGTATAATTTCCACGTCAGCCCGGCCACGTATAAATGAGACCACGCACCCGTAGCTTCTTCTACTTCCTCCTCCTCCTCCTCCTCGCCTCGTCACCCCACCTCCTTCTCGACCGCTAATAAAGAACCATGGCGCAGACGTACGAAACAGCCCCAGCGCGAAAAAGAGTCGTCCTACAGCGAAGAGGGAACGAGAGATTAGAAATCACGCGAGCAAACGAACGAACGAACGAACGAACGAACGAACAAACAAACAAACGAAAAAAAAAGGTGTAGCAACGAGCTTCGAAATATTCAAGGAGGGCAAAAAGAAGACGCGAAGAGGGTGGGAGGGAGGGAGATGGAGAGATGGGACAAGAACAAGCCACGCAGCGAGAGAACGACGAGCACATCGAGCCTCTTCCTGGATGAGAAGAAGACGAAGAGCGGGAGGAGGGAGCGAAGAAGGCGTAGAAGGCTCTAGAAATTAATGGTGGCTCATCGAGGTATAGCAGTTCAAGAGAGAGAGAGAGAGAAAAAGATACACGGAGACTGGTTCGGTGGAGCCCCTCGACACGAATATCTTTCTTCTGCATGCCTCGGCGATCCTACACATATACGCGCGCATAGGTAAACGAGCTAAACAAAAACTCTGTATGGATGCGATGAAAAAAATTGCACGCACGAACATTCACGTTTTGTCGCTGTATCTTTCGAGCTTTTCTTCTTCTTGCTCGCCCAGTGCTCGTTATAATATCATGTACACCGCGTACGCGATTTGAACGCGGCTCGGCTGATATATATATATATGCTTGTTTATGTATTTCGTGCATAGAGAAAAGTACAGATGAAGAGGAAAGGGATGGGTCCAGTTCAGGGAAGCGTGCCCCGTCTTATTAAGGTTCGAGCGTGGCACTTTTTTCCACTGCGGAGCAATCAGCTTGGCGTGTATGGGTTAGGTGCTTAGGGAGAAAATGAGGGTGGAAAGGAGAGGCTGCCGCTGCTGGTGCTGTTGCTCGTGATCGTTGATTGCTTGAGGATGTAGTTAGGCTTGATTTAGGTTTACAGCGTTGGGTTAATCTAGAGGCTAGAAAAGGTATTCTTTCTCCGATGGAATAGGCTATGGACTAGGAGGAGGC